TGCAGAGGTCTTGACGGATGGACAGAACTGTCATCTCTGAAATACAGCGTGCCAAGGTGACGGCGACAAGAAAGGCCACCTTAAAAGAGAAAAATCGAAGGCCCACCTCTCGTAGTGGTTCAAAGAGGGCTGAGGTCATAGCTGACAAGACTATGGAAAGCAACTGATTAAGTTGCGAACCAGCCAAAAAATAAACAGGAGGAAGTGGAGGAGACAATACTGGAGAATAGTTAAGCCAAACTGTGAACCAGTTAAATAAATAGAGATAGAAGTGGTGGAAAACACTGTTGGGAAATAGCTATTTAAATTATGAATTAGTTAAATATTAGACTTTAAAATAAAGTATTTTGGGAGTGACAAATTTTAGATGGAAATGTTGATTGATTTAGAAACAATTAAGAGAGGAGGAAAATATTCTTTGTCAAGATTATGGATACTAGTTGCCATTACTCGATGTAATGGGTCTTAGAAATGAGGAATATATATGAAATATTGATTGTTAAAATGACAAAGATTTGGAATGATGTCTATTTAGAAATAATTGTTTAGAATTTAGGGTGACATCGTAGAATGTTCAAAATCTAAATGTTTAGAATAAGATTTCTTTTTCTTTTTTTCTTTTTTTTTAAAGAGGTAAATGGATAAAATTTGGAACAAAATTGGTTGAGGGAATGTGAGTAATTGTATTTACTTTATACCGGATCAAATCCTTGCTCTAAAAAGATGTATTTTATGTTTCATGTTTTAAAAAAATTAAAAAAAACTTTTCAAAAAAAAAAAGTCACGGATCAGAGGATCTCTGGAAATTGAGTCCTGTTAGCCACATCGCACAATAGAAGAAATGGCAGTCACCTGCTGGTGGAGAGTGTTGGGAGTTAGACCAGCATCCAAGCTGTCTTGCAAGAAGTCCAATATCTGAACTATGGAGGCGGAAGTAGGAGCAAGGCCTTGTCGTCGGCACCAGATGAAAGCCCGCCAAGTAGCATCGTAGATGCGTGTAGTGGAAGCTCTGTGTGAGGCCTGGATGGTTTTAATGACCTTGGAGGAAACATTGGTCCCCGTTAGGAGATGCCGCTCAACCTCCAGGTGATTAATTGATACCATTGGGGCTCCGGATGAAATAACGCTCCTTAGACGAGAATGATTGAGTATTCGGAGAGGGGCAGCATGCAAATTGAATAAATAAATAAATAAATGAATAATGATCCTGCCATCGGGAATCCTCCAGGGCCTTGCCACGGACAGGGACACCAAATCCCCAAACCAAGGCTGCCTGGGCCAATGGGGAGCAAGAAGAATCAGCTCTGCTTCCTCTTCCAACAGTTTCCTAATGACCCTGGCTATCAATGTAGAGGAGGGAAGGCATAGAGAAGGAGACCGGGGGGCCATGGACTGAGCAAGGTGTCCACTGCCTCTGCTCCCTGAGTCGGGAATCTGGCATAGAACCTTGGAAGCTGATGGTTGTCCCAGGATGCAAAGAGGTCGACAGAGGGTTTGGCCGAAGCAGTTTGATACCTCCTTGAATAAGAGAGGATGAAGGCTCCATTCTCAACCGGGGCCCGGCTGAGGGAGTCGGCTCAAACATTCTATGTTTCTGAGATGTGTGTCCGCCCCAAGCCCCAAGCGAAGAGTCTCCTGCATGAGAGCCTTTGAACTCTCATGCACCCTCCAATCCGGTTCACATGTGCCTTGGTTGATACATTGTCCATCAGGACTAACACGTCCTGACAGAGGACCAGGTCTCTGAAGCTCTGAAGTGCGAGATGGATAGCATGGAGCTCCAACCAATTGATGTTCTGTCTCAGATCCAGCTGAGACAACGGCCCTTGAGCCATATGGGGGCCGAGATGGGCTCCCCACCCATAGAGGCTGGTGTCAGTTGTGAGGACTAGCCACTGAGGAATCCGGAATCTGCTGCCCTTGGAAACAATGCTGGTAGTCCACCAGACCAGGGAATCAACCGCTTGTGGCAGTGGAACTATCTCTAAGGACGTGCTCCTGCGAGCCCATTGGAACGGGAGAAGGAACCACTGCAGGTCCCTGCTGTGAAGACAAGACCAAGGAATAATGCCAAAGGAGGAGACCATCTTTCCCAGGAGCCTGAACAATCCCATGAGGGAGGTGGAACGCTCCGACTGGAAACATCTGCCAGCTCCATGAGGCTGAGCTGGCATTCCGGAGAGAGAAAGACCTCCGATGTGACAGCATCTACCAATGCCCCCAAGTGCTTTAGGCATCTGGAAGGCATCAAATGAGTTTTAGACCAATTGATTGAAAATCCGTGATCCTGCAAAAGCCTTGGTGTCGGACTGAGGAGGTGATTTGTGCCCGCCAGGACCGTTTGTCATGAGAGGCTGTACCAGAGGTTCCCTCACCAGGGTCGTTGTTGAGTGGCTTCTTCCCCCTGGTAGATACCATGTGGAATGACTTAGAGGGAATGGAGTCTGCCATCTTGAATGTCCTTTTAACTGCGGCTGGGCCGAAATAAAGAGAACAAACGGGTCCCCGCTGGTGGATCCCCAGCCTGCCACTCACTGCATTGCGTAGGTGTTATTACAGGCTCACTCAGTATTCCCGCCATTGTGAATGAAAGGTGCAGCGAGAAAAAACCGAGCCGCGCTCAAACTGCAAGTTCCTACCGTCCAGCTATTGAACGAGTAAAAAAGGCAAGGGATGGATTGTCGCACTGATTGTGGCTGCTGAGCAAAGACTCTAAATGCAGCTGCCTCCACCCATTGCCGATGGTCTGCAACGGGGAGTTCTTTATCAGTACATCAGAGAGAACTCGTGGCCACTGCCAGTCGGAGCTGCCAGCTAGCAGTCTGATGCCGCCACACGGCCCTCAGTGGAACAAGGCAAAGGCCTTTCACACTGGGAGACAATGTCCACCGATGTCTAGGGAGAACAAATGCCAGATGAATCCCAAAAACATAAAAAAACTGAAGGATAATATCTCTAGCTGAGAGAGGAAGAGAGACACATCTGTCCAAGCCAGACCGAGTCGATAAACTGGAGAGTCACAGGAAGAGGTGGGACTAAAAAGATCAGCAGACTCGGTCCTAATGACTGACAGACAGAGTTAACCATGCCTGACTGCCGTTCCCACCAAGCAGGAGAATAGAGTCAGCCAGAATTAGAACAAAAATAGAACAAGGAATTTTTTGTATATATTGTTACTGGTAATTTAAACCATGCATTTAAAAGATAAATGCAAATTTCTTATGAGAAAAAGTAAATAAACTTCATATAGCTTTTTTTTTCTGTTTTAGCATATGCGGGCATATAAATATTTATTTTTCCTCAATTAGTATATAAAGATAAAGGTGATGCACTTGAATAAAAAGAAATGAAAAATTGGGAACATTAAAGTTACTGAGGTTGATAAACACTGAACTAAACTAACGAGGATGCTAGGCTAGAAAAGGCTACTTTATTAAAACTTCATTTACTGTATGTACACAACACTAACTGGAAATCTCATCAGTTTTAAGGTAAGTGAATTTGTGGCGAGTACTATGAAGCTCTTCACTAAATGAATAAAAGTACAAAAATTATATGCCTCATTATTTACAAAGTGCATTCCATTCTGAACATAAGCTTGCTAAAGCACATTCGTGATTCCATTTATAGGATCCTACAATTTGTCTTTCTAATCTGTTCCATTTAAAAGTCATGATAAATGTTATCCGTCTCTTCAATACTAAAAAATGGGAGAATAACTTTTGCTTTAGGTTGTTATGTTGTGAATTTGTTAATGGAAAATCTTGGTGAATTTTCCTCAGAAAGTTCAGAAATGTAAGCAATATAAAAGAAAGATGAGAAAAAGAGGCCTTTAAGTTGCAGTTTTGGGGAAAATAAAAGTTATTTATGTAGGATTTTGCCATATAATGTTGTTAATCAACATTTCAAGAATAAGAATGAAATGATGAATATATATTTCCTAAGCAAAACACTTTCCCAAAGATTTCATACTTTGTCACCAATAGCATGCTTTAATTTGAAGAAGAAGAAAAAAACTATTCAGTACTCTAGGTCTTGTGCACTGTTACTCATTTCCTTAGAAGAAATGAGCTTTGATGTTTTGAAATATAGGAGATTCACTTATGATTAGGATCTGTCCATGCTTAAATTTACTTCCAAGCAGATAAACAGCATTTCAAAGGAAACGTTAGTCTACACCTTTTTAAGATTCATGACTTTTGCAGGATTCAATAATGTAACCCCACCACGTGCACTCTTGAAATGTATAATCCAGTTATCACTCAGTCTACTATATGGATACCTTCACCTCAACTAGGCATTGCAAAAGAAGAACAGTTATGGGGAATGATTCTTTTCAGCATCTTGAATAATATCACCCTTTATTCTCCTTCCAAAATCTCAAGCATTCCTCAGACTGTAAGAGGTCTGGTGTTTTCAAACATTGGAGAATCAGTTTTGATAAGGAGCCCATCAAACCCATATGAAAAGTTCATCCATCCCCAATCTGCCCCCATCTAAATGTGCTGGGATTGCAATTCACAGAACTACACAATCCATTAAATAGGAACTGATTTTCCAAGACAAACCTAGAGACTTTGGGTTAGGAAAATCTGCCTTGATCAATGGCACACAGACATGATATGCACCCAAAAAATATTAAATTCTTCAAAATTAACTGAGTTAAAGATGAAACCAAAATATTATTTATTATATTTTTTAAATCAAATGTGAGTCATTTGATTTAATGAACAACTTTATTATTACTGAACAAAAACATTATTTAATCATGGTCATAAAATATGGGTAGAATTAGACAAATGATTTCAAATACTGCAAGCAAAGAGGAAGAGGATTGAAAGTATTTTGAGTGTAATAATAAAGCCAATTAGTCCTACTACACTAAAGAAGTAGTTTGACTTTAACAATACAGACAGTAGTTTGTTCTTCAATCTCTATCAACCACATTCCATTTCAACTGGTGACTAAAACAATTGTTATCTTGTCACTTCCAATTACAGAGTAAGGACAACGCTTTCCAGTTTGAACGATTCTGCTGGCTCTGGAAATACATTTATCATCCAATATCATCAAGTCTAACTCCAATCATTAAATCCACTGAGAGGCATTCACAAGAAAACTATATTTTCTCAGTCTGGATCCACAAACAAAACAAATACTCTGTTATCTTCAGCATAGACTTTGAAAAATCAAGAGTGCATATTTGTATCCTATTTCATTATGTGATTTACTAAAATGGATAGTATTTTCAACACACATACTTTATATTAGCATAAGTTTACAAATGATTTTTTTCTTCCTGCTTCTAAATTCACCTCAATCCAATCTACATTTTTCTTATAATTCTGTTCTGATTTAAATAACCAAGCTCTACAGGCCTTTATGATATGTGCCAGCAAATTCCAATTTATGTGGCAGCCAACCAGCCAAATCAAGCGCTAAGATCAAAGGTGCTGTCTCAGTGCATCTTCCTGGATGCAATCAGCCAATTCACACATTAAAAAATTATATTCTACTTGGTAATCTCCAGATGAATCATATGTAGTTTCCATAATTTCCAATCAGCATCAGTTTGTGGACAGATACATAAAATTCACACGGGAAGATGTTAAGGAAAATAATCTAGCCTTCCTGGACTGTGCAGAACACATTAAGGAAGACAGAAGCCTTAACACTGAAGTTTCAGAAAACCCATTCACACAGATCAATATTTACCTTTTTATTGCCACTACACACTGGAGCACAAAATGGGAGTCATCGCTGAGCTGAAGGTCTGCCTACCACCAAAAATGAGAAAGAAAAAGAACATAAACCCATCAAGGAAGCCCTCAGAATGTGTGGCTATCCCAAGTGGGCCTTCATCAAATCTCAAAAAAGACCCTACAGGAGCTTTTCTGTAACAGACAATGTCGAGAACAATAAACGAAGCAACATTGTCATTCTATATGTTGCAGGCCTATCAGAAAAGCTCAGGAGAATCTTCAGCCAACATAACATACATGCACACTTCAAACCCAAGAATACACTAAGGCAGAAGCTTGTCCACCCCAAGGATAAAACACCCAGACAGAAACTGACCAACGTGGTATATGCAGTACAATGCAGTGAGCCATGTGCAGATCTGTACATTGGGGAAACGAAACAACCACTTCATAAACACATGGCACAACATAGAGAACAAACACCTCAGGACTAGATTCGGGAGTCCATCTGCATTTAAAAGCCACTCTTTTGAAGACAACAAAGTACATGTTTTGGATAGAGAGGATCTCTGGTTCGAAAGAGGGGTCAAAGAGGCCATTTATGTCAAAATTGAACAGCCCTCTCTCAACAGAGGGGGAGGGAGATGACATCATCTATCTCCAACCTACAACACAGTCCTTTCAACAGTTCCAAGGTGGCTCCACACCAATTTGCATCACTCAAGTGACCCTGATGACACAGATAAACCTTAATTACCTGCTAAAAGAATGCAAATGACCAGCTGTCTGCAAGGAGTATCAATCCTTCCATTCCCCACCAAAGCTTTATTATTATTATTATTATTATTATTATTATTATTATTATTATTATTATTATTATTATTATTATATGCCGCCCTTCTCCAGAGACTCAGGGTGGCTTACAATGCGTTAAGCAATAGCCTTCATACTTTTGTATATTTTATACAAAGTCAGCTTATTGCCCCCACAACTGGGTCCTCAATTTACCTACCTTAGAAAGGATGGAAGGCTGAGTCAACTTTGAGCCTGGGGAGATTCGAACATGCAATAATTGCAGACAGCTGAATGTTAATAACAGGCTTTTAGTCTGTTGAGCTATCCAGGCTCCTTCTTGGATGAGAAGCGAAACGTCTTCAAAGAAAAACCAGAAAATCCAGTTGCCTCATGAAAAAAAGCACCTTTGGGACAACCTGGATGACTGAGAATCTCCATAGACACTGAAAAAGTAACTTTACTGTTGGTCATTGCATTTGCATCCATTGCAGCATCCCTGAAGCCATATGATTAATATTTGAGCACCTTGCAACGGAGGGTATCTGCAGTATCCCCATGGTTATATGATTGTCATTTGAACATTTCACAATCAGCTTCTAACAAGCAAAGTCAATGGAGAAGCCAGTAGTAAAATTGCAAGTTTTGATCACGATGCCTCATTTAGCAACCTGAGATGACTCACAATGACTGAATGGAAAGTGATGTTGTAAGTCCATCACAGTCACATGATGTTTCACTTAGCAATCATGTCGCTTAGCAACAGAGTTCCTGGTCCTAATTGTGATAGCTATGTACAGTCTACCTATAGGCAGAAACAAAAACAGTTTCATTTTCGATAAAAAAAATGATCCTCACAACAGACCACAGATTACTCACTATCTTTCTATCAGGATTTATTTGATTTTTATCCAACCTTCATTACTTTGTAAATCTAATTGTAGAGCCTTGGTAGTACAGTGGTCTAAAGCACCCTGTTATTAACACAGCTGCCTACAATTACTGCAGGTTCGAATCTTACCAGGCTCAAGGTTGACTCAGCCTTCCATCCTTTCTAAGGTAGGTTAAATGAGGACCCAGTTTGTGGGGGCAATAAGCTGACTTTGTATAAATATACAAAAGTATGAAGGCTATTGCTTAACGCATTGTAAACCGCCCTGAGTCTCCGGAGAAGGGCGGCATATAAATCAAATTAAAAAAAAAAAATCAAAGCAGGAGACATGCACGATACTCCTTTCTCTTCTAATTTCCGTATACAACAACAACCCTGTGAACTGAGTTGCGCTGAGAGAGTGTGATTAGCTCAAAGCACATCCACATATTTTAAAATTTCTCCATCTCTAGAAACATTCTATCAAGGTACACAATTCATCAACCTTTTCTTGTTTCCACAATTTATGAAAAAACAGCTTTATAATCATTCATTTTTTAATCAAACAAAACTATTATGATTACATTAATTTTCAGACTCAAAGTTGTACCATACAAGGAATCTAACATTCACTGCAAAGCATTTGGGTTCTCAGCCAACCACACAGTATTATCTGCATACATAATAAATATACCTTCACATCCTCCACTAATGTGTCTCTAATGTCACTGAAAGCATTCCTTTTCAATGATGCAGAAATATATTAAACAATCAAGGGAACATCTTTATCTTTCTCCCTGCTCAACACAGAATCATTTTTAAATAATTCTATTCTAATTCATGCTTCTATCATAAGTCATGTTTCTCACATTTAGCAACGAATTTTCAACTGCATATTTGTGCAAAGCCTTCCATAATTTAAATGTATTAGCTTTCACACTTGTGTTGTCTCTAAATCCACAAATGTCCAATAAAAATTCCTCCATATGAATATTTCTATTACTTGATAACGGACAAAAATCTGGTCTGCAAACCCCATGCCTGACATGAAGCCACAGTACAAGTCCAAAAGTTTGTTGTTGTCAACCTTTGTGTCAGAATTCTGCTGAACACCTTACCAGGCAATCTTAAAATATTGTTTTTTGTAGCCTCTCTTGCTAGCTTTTTCTTTACATAGGAAAACAATAATGGCAATCTTCCAAACATCAAGCACAAATGGATCTTAACACAACATTACTCATTTCACAGTACAAGCATTCATACTCATATCTAAAATTTTACCCCCATCTGCAGCCTTACCACTGTGCAATATTCTCCTAGCATTAATGAATTCTTTTCATCTATTTTTTTCTTGTACACTAATATTTAGTGGTTTTCAATTACATTCTTCAATATAACATTTACCATTCCCATAAACTTCTATAAATTACTTCTTCCAGTATCTCAAATTATGTCACCACTTTTATCTTTAATTCCATTTAATGCTGGATGTATCTTGTTTAGCATCTTGTTTAGCATCTTGTTTAGCATCTTGTTTATCCCTTCATTCATTTCTAAATCAATCTTTTATTTTTGTTAAAATTACTCTGCCTCTTGTAATCTCAAATATTTCTTATTCCTTTTGATTCTTTCCCTGAAACTTTTTCTCCCTGTATACATTACTTTTTCTCTCATATTTGTTTTTCACATTCTCAAATGTGCAATTTTTTCATCCATACTTTAATAATTTACCAAGCATATTTCCTACTTAGCACAATTCTGCATTTTTTTCATGATGTTCCAAGTTTTCAGATCCTCTTTCCTTACAACCATTTTCCATTTATTCTGGTTGCCATCCTACTTTCACTTTTTCCCCCCCTGGTTTTTCATGTTCACTGTTTTCCAAGGGAAAAAAAATCACTTGTAATCCTACCCCAAATAGTTTGTTCCTTATTCAGAATTGTTCCCCATCTCTGCAGTCTTCACCAATTCTCTCAAACGTTTGTTATAAACAAGATATTTTTCTAAATAAATATTCCTTAAACAGTGCCTTTCCATTCATTCATGGGTTGCCAAATGGCCCGGTCACCTTTTCTACATTCTTTTATCTTGTTTCTAGCTATCCATTTATGTCGGTTACCAGAATAAGTTTTTCCTTTTGGTTGCATGTATTGAGAAATATAAACACAATTTTTTTCCAACATTCATCTCTGGTGCTTCTATTGTGATTCACTAGAACAGGGGTGTCAAACTCAATTTCATTGAGGGCTGCATCAGGGCTGTGGTTGACCTTGGGGGGCCGGGCTGGTGTGGCCGACTGGGTGGGTGTGGCCGACTGAGTGGGCATGGCCAGCTTGACACCACTCACTGGGCGTGACCAGCTTGATGCCACTCCCCAAACTGCTGTCATGTTTCCTCTTCGCATTGGGTAGACTGGGCTGAAGCTGCATTGGGTAGACCGGGCCAAAGCCATGCTGCCTGATGTTTCCCTGATTATGCCATATATAGCCCTCACTTCTTCCCTAAAAGTAAGCTGGGTTATCATCAGAGCAACCTAATTCTAACTAAGTTTGAACGCAAAGTACACAAAGTAAATTTCAAATTTGCATCTGAAATGTATTACTTCGCTGTATTAAACATAGTAATCTAAAAATTGCTGAGTACTATAGAATTCTACTCAAGAAAATGTTTTACTATGAAATAAACATTAGCACTATGAGATTATAAAATTAGCATGTAGTAATTAGAATTCTACTGGGTTATCACAATTTTAAAACAAATAGATCACAATAAGTTATGTATGCCTGTTTAATAAAATGTTCAGTATCTCTGAAGTTTAAATAGGGAAAACATTATAGTCTCAGATATTTGATTGACCTCAGACCATTTATGACTAAATACAAGGCT